GCACATATAATCTACTAGCAGACAAATCTGTGTAAAAATAACAATGGTGCTTGTTAAAATTATTTTAACCCTCCTGTAATTTGGCACCAATTATCTGACGATGATTGTAATTTTGACCCCCTCTACAAAACCTAGTAAACAATGATTCATATGAATACATAAATATTCATGCGCCATGACATTTGATTTTGTGACTTTCATCTATTTTTGTTTTCTTTCTGTCAAACATATCAAAATCTAAAGTCTAAGCCAGAGAACTGATACAATAGGGTATATGCCGAGCTAGTGCTGTTCCCATGCTGATACACTTCCGGTGACCTATTATTGTGAACTTTTTTCCATTTTATACGGTTCCTTATACAGCATCGATGTTGTAATGTCATTAAAATACATTCAGTTAAATAAACTTCAGCATTCATTTAGTTGCTCAAGCGTAAAACGAGACAAAAAGCGGTTTACTCGCACGCGCCTGTCAGAATCGGCAGGCTAACGCAGAAGCTCAATTGAATAAACTGGGGTAAAATAAATGCTCATATTACAAAGATATGGCAGGGCAAATGTAATTTAATGCAGTGCTTCTTGTACAATCTGAGACCCACTTTAAACCGGATATCACTCAGCTAGTGGAGATCGCTGATTTTTAAAGAAAACTGACCTTAAACGCACCGGATTTTGCATTGGCATTCCATTCGCCGGAAGCGCTTAACCCAGGTTACTGGCAAATTAAAAGTCCTATTAACATGCTTCGGCATATACCCCATAGATATAAAAATAAAAACATCAGTGTGCTGCTGTGTGCACATCCAGAAAAATCTTAAAAGCAGGCACTCAAAACTTTTACTTTTTCTATTGACTCAAAACATCTCAATACAAGTATGATAAATCTTTCATATCCATAACATGGTCATTATTAACTTCATCATACCTTTTTGCGGAGCTTCCCTCGGATGTGGCAGAGCCGTTTGACCCCATCAAAGCACATGGCCTCGAGCCGTCCATTTCCCAGCATCTTTATCACCTGAGCATATTCTAGCACAAGACATGGGGGAATTGTTGGAGGACTGAAATACGTGAATGTGTAAAAATACAAGAGCATGTGAAAAGTAAAATGATAGTACTGTTCAAAGTGGATAGTTCTACATTCTATTTGTCACATGAATCTTCAGTTAAAGTGACAAATAAGTGCTCAGAAAACATGTATTGTTATTATTAATGTGATTTTCTTTTTATAAAACATTTTAAAAGGAATATTTGATTAAATAAATCATAATTGGAATACTTGATGAAATAAATATCTTATATATGATGAAATAAATATATTATATAAATATTTTGTAAATAAAAACTTAAGATCTATAGATCAGGATTTAGAAACAGCCAAGAAAGGTGTAAAACTATGCAGAAAAGAAAATATATTTTTATTTGCATATATATACACATTAGTGATTTCATATGTTATGCCACATGATAGGTATTTACCCTGGCCATCCTCCTTGAAAACCAGCTCTCTCTTTTCTGACTCGTTCTCGTTCTTACCACGTCGCCGATTCTTACCTCCTTTACCTGAAGAAAACAAACAGGGATTTTGAATTATTTAGTAGTTCATACCTCATAACAATAAGATAAAGTATTGGGTTTTGTCCTACGGTCTCAATTCTTTCTCATCCTGGTAAACAAAATCACTCAAAAACTTTCTGTAAAGCTTACAGACATTACTGTAATTCTATGACAAAACATGTAATAATACATAATTAAAAATTCTAGCAAACTCCTAAAACAATTGAATTCTTCATAATACCTAGTGCAGTGGTCTATTTTTGTCTCTTGTATCATATAAAATACAAACACGCTTTACAACTTTTTTTCAGAATATTTCTTTCCTGTTAATAGTAAATTAAATAAAATGTATTTGTTCATTTCAGTTAATTCCAACATCTTGTAAGAAAGAAGTTTGTTCCTTAAAAATGTTGTTTCTTTTTTTAAATATTAAATTTTTAAAAATTTGTAATTTTTTCATTCAACATTCCATTACAAATTATATTACATTTATAAATAAAAAAGCACATTTAACATTTTAAAAACCACACTTGCATATATACAAAACTGCGTTTAAAAAGGCATTTTAAAAAGATTTTTCAACACCCTGACAGTTCATAAAACAAGAAATATCACGCTACTAAACCAGGCTCAACAGTAAGGGCTGCCCGCGTAGGAGATGCTCGGGACAGTAGACAGAGAATCGTTACTGGCCCGATGGGGGCAGTGCTACCTTGTCACTAAATTGTAATAGACGGCAACATTACCGCAATATCAAATTATGAGGCTAAGGTTAAAAGAAAAGGTCTGTTTCTAACCTTGTGGAAACATTTACACGAGTACAACACGACAAAAAAATGAAGTGATGTTTTGCATAGTTTGCCGTCGTTTTTAACATTATAATAAATATTTTAACATTTTTTTTTAATCTTTAAATTTTAGATTTACAGACATTATTTTGTGAAACATTATTTAATACGTAGCTACGAAATAGCAAATAACCTTTTTTTTTTTTTTTTTTTTTTGATGGGGCCAGTGAAAATGTTGGTACGGCAAGTAAAAATCTGAACCACTAGTCCAATCAGGCCAATAGATAAAATCCTTAGAGTTGAACCCTGCTAAAGTATTGGGTGATGCGGGTGACAAATAATTATAACATGTAGTTCAATTACATCACAGAATCATTTTATAACTTGCATACATATACTATAAAAAAAGTCTATAAAGAAAAAACAGATGTTATTTTTCTCGAATAACATTATCATAGTAAACGACGTTAAAGCGTAAACTCAGCTGTCGTGCAGAAGGGCTGGCTATTTTAAAACAACTCATTTCAGTCATTGAATAAAAACAAATCGACTAAGCAAATACAAGGAGCAACAGAACAGAGAAACAGTAAACTGCGTTGTTGTGCTCTTAACACTGGCGCTCAGCTAGTGGCTTCACTCGGACATGCAGCGAGTACTTCAGGACAGCGCATGTGAGGAGAGTCAGACTCGCGCTGGTCACGTTGCATCCAGAGAAAGCTAAGCTAAATCCTGCCCCAATAACTGAGTGAAGCGTTAATAAATCGGTGAGCATTTTCCTTACCTTTATTCTTTGGCATGTTCGGATTACAGTCACTGCAGTTTTTGCTCACTGATGTCCAAAAGCCGAGTTGCTGAATTCAGAAATATAACTTTTAAATGGGAGGCTGTCAACTTCCCTCTACTTTCTGAGCACTTCCCCCTACTTTCTGAGCACTTCCCCCAAATCATCTGCGCCTGCGCAAAACGATTTACTTCCCAGAAAAACTTTATTTATAATATCATAAGACACATTTTAATGGGGTATCTGCTGCACACAAACTTTTAATCTCAGTCAGCCAGCTCCATGGTTTCCGGTGAATTGTCATCTCATAAAAAATTGCCGCGATTAAGATCTGATTTCTTAAAAAACAGCCTGGCTGAGATACGATGTAAAGCGGGTAACGTTATCATCATACCAAACAAGATGCACTGACTGCACTACATTATATTTTTCCACGCCATGTCTTTAAAATATGGAAATTAATTTTACCCCAGTATATTCAGTAAAACTTCTGCGCTAGCATGCAGCTAATGACAACTTTTACTGTCTTTTTATACGCTCTAACAACCCAAATGGATGCTTAAATCTATTTAACTTCTTATATTTTAATTAAACTACAACATCTTTGCTGTAAAAGAACCATATGAAATTGAAAAGTCACATAAAGCTTTCACTGTAAGTTCATAATTGGCTAAAAAACACTAGCTGTGCATAATAGCCCATTGATTTAGTTTCAAGTGCTCGAGTCATTCAATGAAAACCATCAGTGTAATGCAAGATTTGTTTTAATACATGAATAAAAACCTGCTGTTCAAAGCACAAATGTGCTAAAAAATATGTGTATGGCCAGTGTTATACGATAGAGGCCAGGAGAGATCACAAGTACATTTCTGCACTGTGATTAATAAAATACAGCAGCAATAATTTATTATAAAAACAGTTGGACTAATCAAAGTAAATTCATTCCAGGACAAGAGGACGCACCTGTGACCAGAGTCCCCTCAAACATGTGGCCTCACATACAAACATACAGAAAACGGTTCATCATCAGGTATAAAAAAATAATACATTCTCAACAGTCTTTAAATCGTGATTGGAAAAAAGACGCGTAATACAGCCTGCATAATTCCCTTAAACAACAAAAAAAAAAGAATAATAATAATACAAAAAATAGGAGTGTTTTAATCACCTAAGAGTAAGACAGCAGTATACTGGTCATTCCCAGTATTAAAAAAAAACTGCTCTTATAAAGCCATCCCATAAAACTCTAACATATCCATTAAGAAAGACACAGCATAAAAGTGGTCTTGCGTAAGTAGAAAGAAGATTGAAGAATGAGGTCACTATATTGATTGTCTTTTATGCAAATCAAATGCTTTTAAAACACATTCATGACTTTTTTTTAACCATTTGCTCAATTAAAACACTATATTAGCAGAGAATACTTGGTTTGTGACATTCACACTACAATTCTAAGGACATACAACGTTTACTTGCATAGTTCTCTTTGATTTCAAACAAACGGTTTCAACACTGTTCAAACACCATCTGAAGTCTCACATAGTGGCAGAACTCGCTCACAGCTCTTTCTCTCGAGCAGAAAGGCTTGAGAGAGGAATTTCAGCACACGAGGTCTGGGTTAAAGTTAGTGGCAGTTGCGAACAGCCATTGTACATGACATTACCACCGCAATACATCACAGTCTTCTGACGTCCATTAATACACGATTATCTCCACACAGACCGAACAGAAATATGTTTTATATAATTTCATATGAAGTACATTTCTAGAGTATTTTCATAAAACAATTGTACATGAATTTAATATTCACCTAAGAGCATTGTATAATATTCTACATGGCCATGAGTGACAAGTACTGAAAAACTATTTGTTGCTTTTTTTTTTGGTTTGGACTGCAGTTTGGTGATGATGGTAGACTCGCTATGAATCTCTCAATCGTATGTGCCATTTGTAATTTGTGGCTCAGGTCTGAATGGTCACAGTGCAGTGGAGGTCAGCTTTTTGAGACCACGGCGCTGAGCCAGTGTGGAGCAGCCCACCGGATCCAAGACAGGAGAAACATTTCTGTTCAGGGCTGAATAAGTGGCTGCCATTGCTCCCTGAGATGAAGATACAGAAAACAGAGAATACAGAAAATTAATGTCAAGTCTTAAGACTTAAGTCTAAGTCTAATCTGAGATTAAAATAAACATTGAAGGGTTAATTCACCCCAAAATGATAATTCTGTCATGATTAACTCAACCTTGTGTCATTTCAAATGCATTTTTAATTCATTCATTTTGGGATCACATTTTGCAGAAAGCTCAGACATTATTCATGTCTGTTCAGCCAATACTGTCACTTTAAATTGTACATTATTACTAACAATGAACCACTTCATTAACTAACATAAACAATTGTTCATTGTTCATTCATGTTAGTAAATACATTAACTCATACAACTTCATTGTTAAGTGTTACCACTAAAGTTATTATACATTAACAGAAGGAAATTTACTAAATATCTTTACTTAAAACTCAAACCATTTTTGCCTTAAAAGAAAAAACAATAATTTAACCTTAATGTTGGCCATTCCTACAAATATACTTTGCAACTAATGTGACTTTGTGTTTCTAAAATGAATAAAGTCTTTTGCAATGAAAAAGCATGAGTAAATAAGGAAAGAATAGTCATTTTGGGGTGAACAATCAGTTTAACTATCATAATGCTTAGGTAAAGATATATTTAGGCCAGTTGGGTAAACATGGAAGATAATAAAATTAGTCAACCATTTCTAAAATCATCAGTTTTACATCTGAGACCATTATAGCAAAGCAAACCTTCACTAGGTGAGGAGCATCCTGTCGATTGAGTTGGTATTTGGGTAACTGGTCCTTGTTGATTATCCATGGATGGCGAAGTACTTGAGCTGCCGTTAATCTCTTATGAGGGTCAACATGCAGCATCTTTGATACAAGGTCCTGTCAGTTTAAAGATGTTAGATTAAACAGAGCATGTGCATTCATCAGCGTTTTCATCCACAACAATGACGAAAACAGGAACAAAGTGTTTAATAAATTCATTGGGCTAGAAAGGGTGTTAAACAAAAAGAGAGCCTACAACCTTTGCATCATGTGATACAGAATTCCAGTATCCACCAGTCAATGAGAATTTGCCACTGCCAATGCGAGCCAGAATCTCCTCCGGTGTGTCTTCTGGACCATTTGCAAATGGAGTGAACCTAAACAAACGAGTATTGGGAGTTTAAAAAAATTATGATATGTACCTGGAATATATGTTTTAAAAAATCCAGGCAGAAAGTATACATTGACCTGTGCAATATATTATGGCTTTAAAATATTGCAACAGAAAATAATATAAATGTTTTTACAGCTTTTCAATGAAACAATTCCATCTCTGGTGAGCGTAGCCATTAATTTTTAAACTATTAAAAAGCTAAAATGTAGACAAATTCTGACTTTATTTGTACAGTGGGTTACCGTACCCGGTGAGCATGGTGTAAAGAAGAACTCCGAGACTCCAGATATCACAAGCTGCATCATAGCCTTGCTTTTTCAAGACCTGAGCAGGTAACACAAACGCAAGTCATAACAGTGTAGAAAGTCAATGTATATAATAGACTACAATAGACAGATCTAAAGAGCCATATAATCTCAGGTACCTCTGGAGCAACAAAGTTAGCAGTGTAGCATGGTGTCATCAGCAGTCCATTTTCTGCCCTGAGTTGTTTAGCAAAACCAAAATCACAGATCCTGATTGATTCGGGGTTTCCAGATTCATCCACATACAGTATATTGCTGGGCTTTAGGTCTCTGTGTACTACCTGAAGCCAAACAGTATAATCAAATCAATTAGAATATCTTATTTATTCATTCATTTAGTTTTTAATGCCATATCAGCAGCATTGGCTACATTCATGAAAATACTGGTAATAAATGTTCAATGAATAATTTACTAAACATAGCAGTTTCTTAATAAAAAAGCATTATACAAAAAGATTCAGGTAACAACTCTACTAACAAAAAGTCATAAAAGCTCTTTCAATTTAGTCAGAGATTAATAGTTACTGAGAAATCTTATATAACTATATACTAGGGCTGGGCGATATGGCAAAAATGCAAATCCTGATGATTATTGTCCATATTAAACGATAACGGTATAAATTTTTGGATATAATTTGTGAAAGCTTCCAGATTTAAAAGAGTACCCCAAACAATGACCAAAGCCACAAAAATTAAAGGGTTAATTAAATGGCATAACATTTTAGGTAGCCGAAAGTTTGGTCCATCTCTAATACCAACACACTTCTAGATTCTCATTGTTACACATTTCTGCTGTGTGATTGGCTTCTAGATCAGAATAGAGTAAAACAGTGCAGAGCTTATCATTGTTATTGACATAAATTGTATCGCAATTCGATATAATATCGTTTATCGGCCCAGCCCTAATATATACAAACTTTCAGTGTGTTGTAAAAGTGAATTTAGTCCATGTTAAGTGTTCTTACCCCTTGGGCATGCAGATATTCAACAGTCTTTGTAATGGTGTAGAGGACAGCGCTTGCTTCTCTCTCAGAGAAAAACTTTTGTCGGAGGATTTTATCCAGTAGTTCTCCACCTTTCATCAACTCTGTGACCAGGTACACTGATCGGCCATCATCAAAGACCTAATAATCCCAAACAGACTCAAAATAGAAGCAAACAACACCTGAGACAGTCTAGTTATGATCTTCTACAGAACAAATGTCACTCACGTCCTTCAGGGTGATGATGTTGGGATGTTGTCCGTACCGCAGCAGGATCTCAACCTCCTCTGTTGGATCTCTTCTCTCCTTTTTAATGATCTGCAATCCAATCAGAACTATTTAGAACCATATCTAAAGATACTAATATGATTCTATAAAATATAAATATTTTAACATTTCATTTGGAAAAAGTACTGCATTTATTTGATCTAAGACAAATTAAGTTTAATAATGACTACAGAATATAGAATAAAGACTATATTAATAATTATGAATGCATAAACTATGAAAATATTACACAGTTATAAACTCAAATATAATATAAATGTATCTTCTATTTAAAATATGCAAAATATATATAAAAAAAATATATTGCCATATAATTACTGCTTTTATGAATTTCTTAGGTACACTATGATTCTTACAAGTGAAATATGGAATGCTGATTAAGTAAAAAAATAAATTTTATTAAAAAAAAAAACATAGAAAAACAGATTTTAAGGCAATTAAAATTAGCTTTAGGTCGGTTTCATTATTTCAATAATTCGGCATTATATTTGATTACAGATATCAAATTTAACAATTAAAAGGAAAAAGAATCCAGAAAAAAAATTATTGGAAGGAAAAAAATCCAGAAACCAGAAATAATAAAATGGCTTTCAAAGGGCAAAAATCACAGCTTCTAAACAAAAATCAAGCAGCAGAACTATTTTTAAAACAAAAGTTTCTTCTTCTAAGTATCTTCTAGGACAAAGTACCTTTTCCAAACTTTTAAACACATCAAAAAACTGGTCAATATAATATGAAGCATGTGTTTTCTGCAACTGACAAACTATTCAAAACTATTAATACACCTCTCTATAAAACTGGAAGAAGCACTTTTCTACAATCGGACTGAATGGTTTTAAATACAGTCAGGTATGGTTCCAGTTTTAGATCCACATGAGCCTGGTACAGAGTGGCACGATTACAACCATTCTTGCCCTGAATTCTTGGTTAGACAGCTGTGCTGAGTCATGCTGGCGGTGTGTGAGAAAGACATTATCACTATGCAGCCTGGATGCCAGTTTCTCTATAGGTGGCTAGTTCTTTTTCTGTTATTCAAGTCCAAAATACAGAAATAAACAAAAACATGCAAAAAAAATAAAAATTAAAAATTAAAAAAAAGAGAGAGAACCCTTTCGCTCTCTGTTAATTGGATAGTTTGCACACAAGTTTAAATTCTGTCATCATTTATTCAACCCTTACAAGTTCCAAAACAGTGATTTTATTCTGTTGGACACAAAAGAAAATATTTTGAAAAGTGTTGATTTCCATCGACTTCCATTGTTATTTTTTTCCCTACTATCCAAGTTGATGTGTACCAGCAACCAGCATTCTTCAAAATACCTTCTTGTGTGTTTAACGGAATAAAGAAGCTCTCAAAGTTTAGGTTTAGAGTAAAGAAGAGTAAACAAAGAGGTCATTTTAATTTTTGGACGAACCATCACTTTAATGCTTCAATAGCACAGATGAAGAGGAATGCCTTTACCTTAACAGCATAGTCCATTCCTGTGCTCTTTTGCACACATCGCTTGCAGACGGAATAGGAGCCCACACCGATGTCCTCTTTAACTTCATATGCATCTGTGAACTGAAGCGTGCTCCGGTGGGACTGCTACAACAGACAGGCATGTGCTTAATTCCCTTCGGTTCTGATGTTGTAGGATTTTGAGAAGAAACGTGTGCAAGTAATGAATGTATACCTGGAGTATGCTGCTCATGTTGATGTTGCTCTGAATGGGTGACTGGCTCTCTTCTTCTACTCCAGTAGCAACAAAACTAAATCCTCTGAAGAGCTGATGGGCATTGGCACTTGGAGGGACACCAGGAGAGTCTGTGAAGAAGAATTAAGGAACAGAGTACAATTCGATTGTTGGGACTGGATTTGCATCTGTTGTTGGGAAGGGGAATGATTCCATGACTTACCTCGTGGGGTTTTGGCAGTGAATTCGGAGTCGAAGTAGAAAGTGTCGTCTGGCTTCTTGATAGCTGGCTTGAAGGGTGGAGGCACTTCTTTTCTGAATAATTTCTACGAAGGTGGAAAAACACTAATTAAAATATATTTATTTTAAAAATAATAAATGCATATCAATTAGGTATACATTAATGTTACAATTCTGGTTGTTAAATTGAATATATATATATATATATATATATATATATTTTTTTTTAAAGCATGTTTGGAAGTCTACACAATTCTATTTAAATAATAATAATAATAATAATAATAATAATAATAATAATAATACAAAACTTACATTCCAGTCAATTCTGGTGAAGAAAGAATGCCTTTTGATTCCTTCTACTCCATCAGGTCCAGCTCCTGAACATTCAGGAATGAACAGACTGACATTTACCAAATTTCCTCAGCACAAACAAACTTCTCTTTGAAGCTAATTAAATAATGAGCTGTCTTACCCAAGCGATTGCCAGGATTCCTCTTGAACAGATTGCGGAGCAGAGACTGGGCTTCAGGGCTGAGGAACTGAGGCATGCCTAGCTTCGCCCTGAAGGCACAAAAACCAACGTCAGTCCAAAAACTCAGTTGTGAAAATCAGTATTGAGGAAATAAGCCTCACTTTAAGATCATTGTCATGGTCTCCTTTCGGTCTTTCCCTTGGAATGGAAGTGCTCCAGTTAGCATTTCAAACTGCGGTAATAGAAATGCATTATAATTAGCCCACAGTGACCCAAATATTATTTTTAACTTTGGTACATCTAAAACCAAACCTCCTCACCATTAGCACACCATAAGACCACCAGTCGGCACTCTGGGTGTGACCTCTGCGGTTGACAACTTCTGGAGCCATATATTCCACCGTACCACAAAACGAATATGCCTTGTTCTCATGGTCAATGGACTCCTTACTCAAACCAAAATCTATGTAACACGTGCAGACAAACCAAATCTGAGACATACTAACATACTTATCATGACGTGACTCACAAAAAACAGTTATAACATTAATCTTTTATCATTTATGACCCAAATTCACTCATTATAATAAAAGCAATATGTTCTCTTGGATAGATAAAGCACACATACCTGTAAGTTTGATGTGTCCATCATCATCCAAGAGAATACTGTAAAAGAAATCAAGAAATTGAGCACTTATTAAAATGTGCACTGCGCTGGCTTTCTAATATCTATATACTATATGGTGATTGATAAAATAGTTTTTATAAGGAAATGTGTAGTGGTTACTATATAGTTTGCTGCTGTACTTTGAGCTGGGCCACCTCACTTTGTATGTAATATGTGGGTGAGAAACGCACTTTTCTGGTTTGAGATCTCTGTAGATGATTCCCAGTCCATGTAAATGGTCTAGTGCCAGAGCCAGCTCTGCTAGGTAAAACTTAACATCCTCCTCTGTAAACATCACCTACAAGAGAGTGGTAGAATGTTTAGATATTCTTACATCATTTCCTTATGTTTAATGATTTAAAGCTCATTTAAATATTTACATCTCTAAAATAAGATTAACAAATACATTACAGTTCAAACTTAATTTTTAAAGATATTATTAATTTTTTCTCAGAAAAGGCACATTAATAAAAAATGAGAATAGTGATAAAAAAACAGATCAGACATCACAAAATCAAAACAAATTCAACTATTATAAAAAGACATGCTTAGAAATGGTACTGAATCAACAAGATATTGTCATGTTTTTGGAATGGCTTAAATTATTAGTAATACTTTTTCACAGACTTGAGTAATGGCTGCTAAAAAATGTATATTACATTCAATTTCACAATCTTATTGCAACTTCTGCTTCAGTATATTTGATTGAATAATGCAGCCTTGGATACTTCAGGAACTCTAAAAAACTGTTTTGAGCAGTTGTGCAAATGGTAGATTTATCGATCCTTAGAAACAAAACTCACCTCTTTAGACAGCCGAGTGAAGAGATCTCCTCCTCTGAGGAAGTCCAGTATCAGATAGAGTTTACCTTCTGTCTGAAATGCTGAAGAAACAAAAATTCAAAATCTGTATCAACGGTAGTAAACATTATTATCCAAGGTCTTGTTTGCACCTGGAAGTAAAATGAACTTTTAATCAATAGTTAACAGCCTAAAGACTAAATTTTTTTGAATTATGGCATGTATTATTGAAGCTCACTAACCACACAGCATTAAACCCTCTGATTTTTACATTTTTTCTCTAAACATATAGCTTCAGGTGGCAATGTTATTGTGAACACAAAGGAAGTTGTTTGGAAGCATGTCAATAACCAAACAGATCTTGTCACCTACTCACTCCCATAGTATTTATTTTTCCAACTACGGCAGAGTTAGTGTGTTGAGATCTGTTTGATCGCTGACATTCTTCCAAATATCTTCCTTTGTGATCAGCAGAAAAAAACGAAATGTATATGGGTTTAGAGCGCAATATATGTATAATATATAAGGGAGGGCAAACTATCCTTTTAATATCAAGCGTAAACAAAGTTAACTGGGCGAGGCATTGGAAACACAAAAATGATAACAAACAAACAAATAAATAAATAAAATTAATCCAGAGATTAAGTAGATAAATAGCAAGTTTAAATTAAAGTAAAAAAAACTACCATGAAGTGTGAGAATCTGATCAGCGATAAGATGTCAAAGACTCACCATAGTGCAGTTTAACAATAAATGGGTGGTTGACCTCAACAAGAATGTCCCTCTCCATTTTTGTACGCACTCGATCTCGCACTGAAACCACAAACCAGATTGTAAACGAACAATAACACGCTTAAATTTCCTTCAGCCGAGTGTGTGCATTCAACAGAGTTTCTACATGTTTCATCAAGTTTGATTTAAGACTTTTAAGATCATTATGTATGAAATTTTCAACTTGTACAAGGCTAAATGCTAAAGTATGTTTTTCAAATATCCCATTTAGAAAAGATTTTCACTTGTCCGATCAAAAAAATATTAATTTAATACATTTAATAACAATAATTCAGTATTAATATTTTTTTTATTAATTTTCAAATATATCCATTTACAAACCCAATAACCCTTACCAAATAGAACAAAACATAACTGTCAATTACTTTAGTAAATAAATGGAGAACTTTTAAAGCAAATCTTACTGTAAGGAAAAAAAAACAATAATGCAAAAACAATTTTTAAATTAAAATGTTTTAATAAGATGGATTGATGGTGATCGCATAGGTGTTAATGGCCAGATTGGGTAGCTATACATGAACAAAGGAAAATTAGGACCTGTTAAAAAAAGATTTAAGACCTACAATATAATATTTCAGTAGATTTAAGACTTAAGGCCTAAAATTAACCTTTTGACATTTAAGACATTTTAAAAGCTTTTTAAGGCCCAGCAGATACCCTGTTCTATGATGACAGCAAAACACACCTTTCAACGTAGCTTTCTTTAGCACTTTCATAGCGTAGAGTTGTCCTGCATCAGGCCCAGAGATCTTCTTGACAAGGAACACCTGCACAAATCCCAACCATTACGATTTGAAGCCAATGTGAAAATGCTTAATGAAACTAAAAATTTCCAGTAGTTCTCTTCATATCTGACCAGTTTATCTAACCTTGCCAAACGAGCCCTGACCCAGCACTTTGCGGAGCTCAAACTGCCGTGGGTCTGCTTTCTCTGAGCCCTCTTTGACATGATGAGTGATGCTGATTTCCTTCACCGAGCCCTCATCCTGTTAAGAGGACAGAATTGATATCAGGATGATTGTGTCAAACATGTAATTTAACACCAAACACACACCTCAGTTCTCTTGCTTGGTACTGTTAGAAATACATTAATGACAGCAGTGTAAAAAAACAACAACAACAACACTGAAATCAAATGTCAGAAAACACCAACATCACTTCATCACCTCAATACAAACTCATGCCCAAAAAGTTACTGACAGTCAGGCAAACACACACACCCACACACACACACCCACACAATGATAAGATGTTAAAGAGAAGCCTGGATGGCTGGTGTCTCTGCAGAGGAGCGATGTGTCAAAGCCTGTGGAAGGAGAGAGACAATAAACACAACAAACAAGCAGCACAGGTTTTAATCTTGGTCCATCTGACTGACTGAGAGATCATGAAAAGCAGAAACACTGACACAGAGAGATGCTGTCAGGATCATCCAACTCTGGATGCTAAAATGCTAATTAGTGGTAAAATGGGTTAGTCAGTCGGCGCAATAGCCTAGTGGTTAGCGCGCCGACATATGGTGTCGCGAGTTCGAATCCCGGCTCAACGACATTTCCCTACCCTACCCCCTCTCTCTCTCTCTCTTCCACTTCACTTCCTGTCTCAATACTGTCCTATCTAATAAAGGCAAAAAGGCCAAAAATAAATCTAAGAATAAAAATAAAAAATGGGTTAGTCACAGCCGAACGCCTGCATTCTCATTTAAACAGGCTTTTTTTAGATCTCTGCTTTTTCCCCTCCCTCTTATCTTATCATCTCATCTTATCCCCCCCTCTCTCTCTCATTCTTTATCTTATGAAAAATAGGTTGGTAGTAACTTTTAATCTGTTCATAAACACTGAGTTTGGTCAACAAATTGCACACACACACACCAGTCTGCCATGTCAATAAACGAGAAGAAATGGTGAATGATATCTGGTAGGGTTGGGCGATTTCAACCAATTTGGCATCATATGATGTCAAATATGAAACATCACGATGGCACTATCGTAATAGACGCTGGTGAATTAATTATTTATAAATTTTCAAGCATTTGTTGTCAATTTCTTAAAACCTGTCGGCGAGTCAAAATCGGGACTAAAATCATGCAATCTGAACTCAGCATAAATCTCATGTATTGTCAACTGTTGTCAACTCAACATAGCATATGTGAAAATAGTCGACACACACTTTTTGATATTGATGCTCAAACGATATATTGCTCAGCCCTATCAGAAATTATGAAAAGAAAGCAGTGGGACTAAAGCATGCGTTTGTGCACTGGCAAAGCAATAAATATTACATGAAAGCAGTAAATGAAATATTTGCTGTATGTAGAAATAATCTAAGCAATATTTCAGAGCCAATTTTTCAACAAGCTCAGTCTTTTCATCATTTTGCCTTGCCTGTGTTTTTTGGGAGACTGCGTACTTCATTAATAATCAATGCTTCCCTCCTGACCTGCTTTCACTAGCAGCTCGAGCTGTTAGAATAGTTAAAAACCCATCAAATGACTGACAGTGTCAACAGTAATACAAGGATGTTTCAACAAGCAAATTCATAAAGTGCTTAAGGAAATAAAGGCATCAGTTGTTTATGCATCATGCACTTTAGCATGAATGACACAGTATTTACCAATCAGCATAAAGAAACAGAACAATACAGTTCAAATTTTGCTTTTGACAAATTTACAGTAAAGGTGGAAGAGAAGTGCCTGTCATCCTGTAGACTTTAGGAGTGTTTAATGTTGCTTAGAGGTGACAAATGCATTTGCTAAGGGCTGAGGAGAGTCGGAGAAAGCAAACTTTTTTTTGCCTGGCTTTTTATGCAGCATTGCTTCTTCACAGTGATAGAGAAGACTTAAAGAGCTCCATTATGCATTATGAAAGGTCATACTTTGGTATTTGTAGGTCTCCAACAACAGGCTGATATACATGCAAGGTCAAAAAACACTTTTATTGTCTTATAAGATGCTTTTTACCTAATTATTCCAGCGACTACCATATGATTCATTCAGCGATTCATTCGTTCCCAAATCCCTCTTTTGCATGAAGCCAATCTGCTGTAATTGGTCCGATGACCCAGTCTGTTGTGATTGGTCGACTGTGTTCAGCACGAGACGGAGAGAAACAGCCACCACGTTTAAGCATATTCACATTTAACAACTACACACATTCATTATTAAACTACACAGTGGCAAAGTTAAACTATTTTGAAAATTGACCACACCCCGCATGTGTGCAGGAACAGCTGATGGTGCCATAGCAACAAACAGCAGGAGATCGCGAGCACAAAACTCATTTAAATCAGTAGAGGAGGAAGCACGTGTCGCATTTTCAGCGTGGTTTTGGATGCAATATGTGAAATAGCCTATCCAGATTTAACCTGAGAGATGCAGCACAAATACTGATCTATAATAAAAATGCGATTATAAGCCACACGTAGTGATCACAAGTTACAACACTCAACTAAATGCATATTTTGCATACAACCGAAAACGAAGCTACTAGTTTAAATGACACTTGATGTTGTGTATGAAAAAGAAACACTTACAGGATCTGGAGAAAGAAACTGGTCTATACAAACCGTTACTGACAAAATCCCATGTTTTTGCTGATCCTTCTTGTAATAACAAAAAGCCAGCAAATCCCGTGCTGCAGGACAGGTTATTGTATCAATCATCAGAAAAATGACAGGAACAAAAAGCAAGGAACCATTTATTCCCCACAGCCGCATGTCTGGCCATCTCTCAGTGATTGTAATCTTCGCATCATGACCAATCCCATGATCCCACGCACTTTGCTAGTGTCTGAAGGGAAAAGCGCGTTCACGTTTTACTAGATCCGGCAGCTCATATTTGGTATTGTTTCGTGTCAATGTCGATACGAACAGGCAAAAGATTCAGACAAACGACAACTCATTTAAACAACTTAGTCTAATATTTAATTTTTAAAAATCTATATTTTTAAATACGGTGCAATTTCAGATTTAATTTCAGATTTAAAGATGCGGCTTTAGTCTCCACCAACACTCGTCTGCACTACCGAGCCGACCAATCACAAAGCTTGCGCTTTGTGTCCTTGTGACGTGAAGTTAAATTTTTTTGAGAGGTTTGCATCTATATCACTGACAGCCACGGTGAAGGCTATGGGTCCACTCGTAGGTGCACCGGGGCATACGTGTGCGCTTAAAGCAGAAGTCAGCCTTTAGAGCCGTGTTGCACACTGCATGGAAGGTAATTTTCAAATACCCTTAAAAGGGACTCCTAAACTTGATGTAGAGATATGTCATTAAAAGGAAGAACTGCATGGTGTGAATCACACAGGAATTAATTTTTGTTCTTTGTAAAATAAAATATCTTTTAAGTAATTTATATGCAGTTGTGAAGCTTAGAATCCTTCCATAAACGCATAAAAATGTGTACATTTAAATTTAAATAAATCAATCAGAATTGTTGCGCAAACCAACAATGGGGCCTTCAAGATGTTTGGGAACAGATGATTTGACTAAAGGGGCTAAATTTTTTTTAGAGAACCGAGCTGAAATGTGACCAAGGATGATGACTGAGGGACACCTCACAACAGGAACAGGAAGTGAGCGTGGGTGTTGAACACACTACATCAAAAACATGACTCTTGACAGTCTTCCTTCCCACACACACACACGCACGCACACACAATAGGATGAGCTTAAAAATACACTGTTTAAAAAATTCATGACAGTACATTTTTATCCAGAATTTTTTTTTAAACAAAGACAAATAAAATGCATCAAGTCACTTGAAAGAATAAAATTGTCATTAAAAAAATCTGCTTTTAATGACGCTAAAGTTGCTAATTGTTTATTTTATCAAAAAATCCTGAAAACAAAATATCCAACAAATTACACTGATAAACAAAAGTGTTCTTTAGGTCACTAAATTATCACATCAGTGTGATTCCTGGAAGATCATCAAATTGTTATTATGTTTCATAAAGTCATCCTTTACAGCGTTTTGAGCTATTAAAAGCAGCCCATGGAGTCAATCTGCTCCATCAGCTTTATAAAAAACGATATGCTGGCTTGGTGGAAAATTAGGCTCTGCTTGATGTGAATGCTGAACATCCTCTTCTCCTACTGGCCGTTTGCCATGTCACTCATCCAACAGGAAACCAATAAAACCAGGCTATCCTCTGATACAGGAAACGTGATGATAAAAGCTCACTAGCTGGCATAGGAAACATATCTTTAAACTGAAAGATAGTAGGGCTTTACAGTAGATCAAATTGTCTTCATGATGTGACCAAACAGCTTGTCTGATAACCTATGGACTTGAACTGCTGTGCTGTACCCATCAGCATTAATTATGACAGCTATATTCTGCATACTACAACGACTCAAAATACACACAACTGCTCACCAGATGACATTAATCGTTCTATTTGGATAGATAAATAATTTATATTGAGTCAGAGAAAATTAAATAAATGCTTTATGGTCTCCTGAGAATTCAGTCAATATTTAACAATATAAATTTTGAAATCAAATGTAAAATAACTATGGACCTTCATTGTATAAATATATAAATAATCCAATACAAATAAAATTTAAATTGTAAAGTTACAAGTGGTATAGCATGTCCAAATGCTTTAAAATCTCTTGTAAAGCTCACATGGTCACAGTTCTTAAAAACAAATGCAAATAATAAACTTTCACTCTCGTATGGTTACATTTTGCAGTAATAATGCTAAACCGATGGACACAAAACTAATAGAACATACTCACATAAATACACACATAGTTAGTCAGACAGTCTTCAACTTACGTGAACAAGAGAATCATCCTCAATCATGGAGTCATCCTGCAAAACAGAAAAAGAAATGACGTTAATACAAAACCTTCTTACATTATTTTATTATTACAAAAACATTCACAGCAATCGTCTGAAATTTAATTCCTGAAGGGCCGCAGCTCTGCATAGTTAAGCTCCAACCACCTCCAACTCAAAGCTGCTTAATAGTCTCTAGTAGTCTTGAACGCCTTGGCTGCATCCGAAACCACATACTTCCATACTATATAGTACACTAAAATCAGTATGCGAGCCGAGTAATATGTCCGAATTCATAGAATTCGAAAATCCGTATGCGATAAGTACCCGGATGACTTACTACATCCGGCGAGATTCTGGAGTGCGCATCCCATGCATGCTGCGCTATCCCATGATGCCACGCGAGCGAATTCATGAATGGGAGTAAAGCGACGCAATTGACGCAGGTAGGTCACGTGACAATGACAAAATGGCGGATGTAGTACGTCCGAATTCCATTCATACTTTTCACGTTCATACTGTATAGAACGCACTTTTCTAACGACAGAGTGGTACGTTTAAATTCAAATGCAGTACCTACTGAGTAGTAGGCGGTTTCGGACGCAGCCAATGATTAGGTGGATCAGCTGTGTTTGATTTGGGTAGGAGGAAATCTGTCCAGAGCTGAGGCCCTCCAAAAATCGAGTTTGAAACCTATGATTTACAACGACTACGATTACGTAGTCCTTGTAAATCGATTATGAATTACAAGGGCGAATTACGAAAAAACTGACATTCCAATACTTAATTTTTCTGCAATATTGAGTATAATTTAACAATCATTGTTAATCATTATTTTAGACGAATTGGGATCATGTTATTGAACATTTGCAGAATTTATTATAATTGATAAATAAAGTAATGAAAATGTGCAAATAAGACAAAAAGTGTTGTATAGTTTTCTGGAATTCTAGTAATAATAAGGTACAAAAAATTGAATAGTCAAATGTAAAATAACACTATATTCTTCATCGTATATACAAAAATACAATTAATCTTTCTTAAAAATTACAAACATTAGGGGTGTAACGCATCACAGTTCATCAGTGATACGCATGGATAACAACCCACGGTTCGGAAAGCATGTGACCAGCAGATTAATAACTTTTTTTTCTTTTAATTGTACGTTAATCTAACATTTATAACAACTGCAAAGAGATTGCCTCCCGCATCATTCAAATCACGTGTACGAAAGCATTTTGGCTTCTCTGAAAAAAAATAACGATGACAGAAAAAGTTGTGATGGGACCTACCTAAATGCTTTCTAAGGTTATTAATTAAAGGTGTTTTCAGTCACTGTTTGTTTACCCTGCATTAATGCATTTGAATGTAAAGCTTCACAATTAAACATTAGAAACATCTCAACTGATCTCAATTCAAACCCACACAACATGAATAAATGATAATGATTTGCATATGTTTATTATTCCTTCGAATCGCTGCATTCAAATCTGCATTTGATTGAAAGACACAGTTTTACACTTTTTCAGTTTGTTACAAACAATAAAATAATACAAAAGTACTGGGAGAACAGTTTATAGTTCAGATGTAAACACTGATGTTTATGGTAAAGATTAAAATCACAGTTTAAATGGAACTAGATGTTGGTGAACGTTGTAGCAATTACATTGTGCAACCAACAGGTAGCGACAAACAACCATCAAAATTATGTCACTGAATAGGTTTTCAAAAATGATCCATCTATAATAAAGATGTTAGATTTCTATATTCAGAATTATCAGCAAAAATCATTTTTGTATTGAATATTTTCTTTTTTTTCAGTTGGTTCTTTCTTGATTTTTATTTTTAACAAAATTGCAGGTTCTAAGCCCTGTTTATTAAAACCAATGCTTTGTGCAGTAATATTTTTGCATAAATGGAAAGCGAATGACATTAGTGTTCTACTCTTTTGCTGATCCGAAAAATGGTCAGATCCATGACTCAAAAACTGTAAACAAAAATCACTTGTTTTTCTAACTGTCTACTGGCCAGTCCTGCAATGTGACTTTTGCAAATGCACACATTGCAATATCGATACTGAAATGATATACTGTGCAGAACTAGTACAGGACATTACAAATAGAAGGAATAAAGTTCATTTTAATGACTGCGAAATCATAATTATTTTAAATAGTATCTACATGGGATAATGACTATTTGAAATGTCAAATTACCTAACCACATGTTGACATAAGAGTAAAACAGCACTGTGAAAGATTGTTATTTACGTGTAGTAACAGACTGTGTGATTATTTATAGGTCCACACAAACCACACAGGACGGCTATTTTCAGAACACAGGATTAACCCGGATCAAAGGCACGTTAATTAGGGAAAGAGTATGGCGATGACAGAGGGCTAACAAAGTACCAGAGACAATGCATGTTATGATTTAGCTACTCTAATGACATGTTTATCCTAAAAGCACTTAAAACTGTACAAAGGAGTGTGCAGGGTTTTTGTGCCATACTCAAAGTTACACATGGAGAATAATCCATAAATGTTTCTGGATCATTACACATGAGGTTTGAAAAATGTTCAGCATATTTATGCTTTCCAATACTACATAATAGGGCTGGGGGATTTAGCCTAAATTCAAAATCTCGATTAATTGGACAATTTAACTCGATTGCGATTAATGAACGATTATTTTATTTATTAATTTTTATTGTATACATTTATTTTTGTGCAGTAAATATGCATTGTTTTTGGTATAAGCTGCTCTTGTTGCTTAGTTGTCTCAGTTTTTAGGTTGTTCATGTTAGACATGTTGGCGGAATGACGTAATTAAGCCAGGTCACGTGACCTTACATGCGATAGGGATAATAACAGAAAAAATGTAATCAATTACACTTTCTGAATGTCAATTTCGATTAACCACCCAGGCCTCTTACATAATTTGATTGAAAATACAGCAATATAACTATTACAAAACAAAATAACTGTTTTCAACTTAAATGTATTCCTAAGAAGGCAAGGCTGAAAATTTCTTTATCTAAAGTGCTTTTAAATGCTTTTTAAAAAATTAATTAGAACTGAATTTACAGCAGCTACACCTCTAAATGTTCTTTGAAAAACAGAAAAGTGCAAAAACAGCATTATTTATTTATTTGTGTAAACTTGTGTGACCTTTTACACACTTCTATATATATTTATTTGGGATTAGTGCCATTTTAATTTAATGCTATATTAAATCTCCCATCCAGATAATTTCACAATAAAACAGGAAACAATCATTGAAATGTAATCCACGGACTAAATCTGAACACAGATGAACAGATACAACCCTGAATGGGAAATAATTAAAGTTGAATTTGATCAAATGCAGACAACAGCACATCCAATAATCAAATTCACCAAAATCTGAATTAAGATAAATTCCAAGATATTTGTGAGAAAGCCCTATCTTAAATGTCTTTAAGCTCTTCCTAATATACAATTGAAGATGTTTGGAAGAAAGTTCCTTGGCATAATTCTTCAAGACTTCTTATGTTCCTTCATTTCAACTCATTTTTGCAGAGTTGCCACTGAAATTTTCAGTAAACTGTGTTTTATATAATAACCATAAATCAATGTTTACATTACTAATCATTTCATTTCATTTTGGAAAACATGTGCAAATCCCCAGTAGTAGTAATAGGTATTAGATGCATCTACTGTCATGTTGTAATGCTTATTATTAACATAAATCAACTTGAATCAACTAAATGTATTCCTTATCTTAATATCTTCTGGTATTTTATATGTGTTGGAGGGTGTGTTTACTAACTGATGTTTAAAATTACACTGTCCGAGAATTTGAATTCATAAATTTTGGTTTAGTATTTCCTATAAGGCTAAAACGAGTAAGAATAAAAATGCAATTTTAAAAGAATTAGCTTTTTAATATTTATTTTCTTTCTTTCTTTATTTAGTAAATTATTTTATTCTATAATTTTGTAAGTCATGTTTATATAAATGCTGTTATGAGACTGTTGTTTCATAATCTAAGTAACACCCTGGCTGTGTTTCAAAAGCTAACAGGCCCTCTGTCTACTTAGACAGCATTTGGGGGTATCATAAAGCATGTTTGGCACATTATGGTATTTCTAGGCATGCCTGTGACGCCCAAAAATGTTGTTTAGGTATGCAGGCAGTTCACTGGGTTTTGAGAAACCGACTGTTAGTGTATGAGAAGTTAGTTCCCCACCCTGAGCTTGCCCAATGCATCCTCAAGTCAAACTTCAACCAGCTTCAAAAACAAGTGTCCATTTTAAGTAAGAATGAACCAAGTTAACTTGCATCGAGTTGACACACACACACACACACACAAACACGTACGTACGTACAGGGCTTGTCTGGTCAAGTCTTCGACGGCTTACACATTCTCCAGCTTTTCCAAGTAGCAAAGTACTCTATGCTAATAACACGTCCAAGTTAACATTTAAAAGAAACAAACACGTCGTGTTGCTTTTAAAATTCTACTATATAACTGCTAAGCACACACTTTTCTGCATTTTACGTTACTTGTTTGAAGAGTAATGTTAATCCGAAACTTTGTGTTTGAATAGTCTTTGCAAACTGTAAACTAGCAAACCGAGTAAGGTTATGCATTTCAAGTCTGTACACTGAGATTCCCCTGCTCCAGAACCGTCGGATTAAACATGACATTGTACAATTACACATCGGTGTTGCAAACATAATAAAAACCTACCTCATTCTCCAAATGCCCCATCGGCAACTTCTGCCAGGGGTCTGCACACTGCGCCAGTGGCATCTTCAGGACCCGATCTTTAACTTACGGTCGCCCCGTGAAGTGATTTGACGGTCTGTCAGTCTGTGTAAAGTTGCTCAGAAAGAGTCCCACAAAGAGAATGATTCTTATCTCACCCGTAATTCAATCGCGGATTATGTTCAAACGCTTAAAGGGAAGCTTTTAACTACTAACGCGTCCGGTTCCTCTTCGCAAACATTCAGAATATGTTTTTAACAAGGGAATAATACACTTCCGTTTTCGCTCAACATGGCGTCTTCGCCCCGTTCACCTGTCTGTCAGAACGAGGCTGGATATACGTCATCGTACGTCATAAAGTGGGGGGCTCCGTAGCCACCCACTGACACCTTCACTGGACAGTTGTACTCAGGTAAAATCAAACTTGAAGGAATTATTCTTAATATAATTAGGTTTAATACATTAAAATGTATTGTTGTACTGCGTTTAGATTCGATTCGATAACTCTGATGCATCCTTGGTCCTCTTTTTTTGCTTGCACAGCAACTACATGCTTAAATCAATTTGTGTTTTAATAGAAAAACACACATCACACTCACTCTTTTTTGCAAATGAAGTGCACAATCAATAAAAAACACTGCAGAGGGAGGGAAATCACAACACCAGACTGATAAATACTCATCCAGCAGTGTCAGAGGGCTTAGAATAAAGCTGATTTGAGCAGGATTGGGTTTTATTTTCGCTCCCTTTTTGATCAGACCCAGTTCATTTGTGACCCATATTTCCAAAGCGTTTTTGTAATCATGCATTACACAGGAAGGACACAAGGCTCTCCTACAATTGAAAAGCTCATTTCTTGTTCACATTCTACATTAAATTACCTTGCGTTTCTGTTATTAAATTTAATACATGATTAAATGTGAAGTATTAAGTATGCTTCAGTGAAAACATAAAGAGAATCCGGACACTGAAAGAATGCATTTCATTTAGAATTGCATACATTAATGCAAATATATGACAATTTGCTGCAGTTGTTGTTATGTAAGTGATAAAATGTGTTATTTTAATTTAAAAGTAGAATATCTGATAGGAATTAAGTTGAATGTATGAATGCATTTGATTTTTATTGCAGTACATCAAACAAACTGTATTTGTGTGAAGAAGTATCTTAATTTAAAATAAATGTTATTTGAATAAATTTTAAAGAGCCTCTATTATGCATTATAAAGGGTCAAATTTTGGCTTTGGGGGTCTCCAACAACAGGCTGACATGCATGCAAGGTCAAAAACACTTTCATTGTCTTAAAATATGCATTTATTTTACCTAATTATCCCAACAACTCCCGTATGATTCATTCAGCGATTAATTTGTTCCCAAACCCCTCCATTGCATGAAGCTAATCTGCTGTGATTTGTCCGATGACCCAGTCTGTTGTGATTGGTCGACTGCGTTCAGCATGAGACAGAGAAAAACACCCACCACGGTTATAAAGTAGCACACAGATTATGTGAGTCCAATGCAGGACCACAATTAAGCAATGCAGTTAAACACCGGCATAATACTCTACTCCTAACCCTAACCTCAAGTAATAACAACAACGCACATTCAGTATTAATCCATGCACAAACTATTGTGAAAAATGTGAGGAACAGCTGATGGTGGCCATAGCAAAGACAAACGGCAGAGGATGGCGAGTTAAGAAACGCATTTAAACCAGTGAAGGAAGAAGCATGTGCCGCAATTTTTACATAGTTTCGAATGCAATATGTGAATAGAAATAAAGATTTACCCTGCAGAGACACACTGATAAATAATAGATAAGCGAGTACAAGTCGCTTATCTATTATACACACTATTAAATACATATTTTGCAAACTACAGAAAGTGAGGCAAAAGAAAGCCAACACAATTCATTTATTCGACTCCTGAATCAACTATTTTGTTGAAAAATCAATAGTTTTAAGTTAAACAGTTTTTTTTTTTTTCACATTTAACCCTAGGCTGGATGTTTTCATTCACTAAGTGCTGTATTACACATTGCATAGAAGCTCATTTTAAAAAATGGGGCTCTTTAAAATGTAATTTGTTTAATTTTTTAGCATCAGGGTTTAGTGTCACAAAATCTTTCAGTAATCATTCTAAATGCTGATTTGTTGCTTTAGTAAGATTCTTGAACGTGACGGGAATTACACAAACCCAATCTTAAACGTTTAATGCATGTTGTTATAGTAACATATTTAAAGGCTAAGTTGTACTAGAAAAGTCTGCAGTTTGTAACAAATAAGATGAAACAGTTTGTATTATAGAGCTCACTGTATCCGATCTTAAACTATTTCTTAATAATTTTCTTAAACAGCAGAAGATAATATACAAGCACCTAATCACAACAAAAAAAGCATTGGAATTATTTATTTGTAGTTGTATGTTATAAAGACCACATTGAACACATACATTGCCTGATCTTCTTGACTTTCCATCCTATTCGATACAACATAAAAGGTTAAACCTGCGATTCCCACTTTTACCCTCCCAACAGCAAAATAACATCCTACTCCAACATTTATTACATTCCCAATTCAGAGAGATTTTAAACAAACATTAAAAACAACCATTAATACACGGAAATCGCAGAATTTTAAGATATATCCCCAGTAACATTGCTTGTAACAAAAACTTTTTCATAATAAATATGTGAAGAAAAAACCCCGGTTTTAAATAAATGCCCTAGAGAGTGAAGGGAATGGTGAGAATCAAATAACAGTTTCCCATTCCATAACCACATTTTAGCTTTATTTGAAATCTTATGAATTAAAATTGATTTTTAAAACCCTTTACAGCCTATAAATGAATCGAGTTGGTATAGTTTTATGATACCACAAAAAAACACAAACTTTTCCTGTAGTATGGCCACAATGATTTACATTTTAACTGTTAATAAACACTTCCCTTTAAATGTTTTGTAAAGCTAAAACTGCAAGGCTGCGTTTCACCAACACCTTGGCTAAAACACACATAAGCACACACACACACACTTCTGCGGATATATAAAGCTGTGAATGTGTGAGCGCATGCATGTCTGAGTGGACAAAGTAAATATTCTGCCATTGTGTGGATGTTGTAGAGGTACTGGAAACATTTGGAAAGTACCAATAATTACAAGCCAAGTCCTGCCGTGTTTATTCACATATTACTGTACATGCTCTTTGCAATAGATGATGTAAAATAAATTGAGGGTTAGTGTTGTAACTGATGAAGACAAGAAAACAAGGCAATGATCAAATGTGAAATGAGGCAACTTTTCTCAATGTGGCTGGGAGATTTGGCTGAGTTTCCCCAATAACTGTCTCTGAAACCTATAGCCACACTGGGGAGGATTTTTATCTGTGCGTTTTAATAGGAGAGGGTCCAACCAGTAGGAAGAGGAGGATGAAGGAGATTTAGCTGATGGACTTGAGTTTGGACCAGGGGTTGGTGCCACGCACTTCCAAAGGAGGGTCATTGTAGAAAATGTGGTTGCAAAGATCCTCCAGCGGAGGCTCAGGGTCTGTGGTGGCAAACTGAGCTGCGTCTTCAATCTCTTTCCTTACCTCCACATCAATCTCCTGCAAAAGGTGTCAGCATTTAGTGAAACTGCACAATCCAATGATTCATTCTTTTTTTATATATATATTTTTTAAGTAGAATAAAGTAATCCCTCCATTATAGTAATAAAGCATGCACTAACTCTATGACTGCCTTTGACATTTTCTAATTTAGTGCAACACTTTTATTGTCAGCTTTTTATTCTTAGAGGCCATTCACACAGAAAACATCTTTGCATCCAAAAACTTGCAATGGCTTTAAAGGAAATGTAGTCTAGAGCACTAAAAGAAGTACAGGGTAGAGAAGTAGTGTAAAACACAAGGGTTTTTGGACACAGCTACTGAACTACAGTATAAAGGAGCTTGCGATGCTTGACCCTCTGAGATCTTCGATTCGGTACACTGCCTAGGAACTGACATTGATAAGTGGAGCTACTTGTAAGAGTTTACATGGTTTACATTACGTAATTTTGTTTTTTAATTTTAATATTATATAGCATTATATATTATATGTATTGTAAAATAAACCATGCTAAAATAAACTGCTAGTAAAACTAATTCGAATTCCAAATTGAATACAACTTTCAGGTCTTTCAATGAAAACAAAAAGACTTTATATTGTGTTTTTTATTATGATTTTTTATAGTCAAGATCTAAGTGATTTCTTTTTTACATTTCATCATTAAGAAGGTTTGATGGTAGATTTGCTTGTAGACATTAGTTTTGTTGTATTTTCAGTAAGGCAGAACCTCTTAATTGAGATCGCTAAACTACAAATTACATGGTTGCCAATGTTTTTAGATCATCAGCATTGTTTGTGTATTGTAGTCTGTGAGCATGTGCAAATGGTAGCCAAGTAAGGACAGGAAAAGTGTTTAAGGAGGCTTTGATAAAAGTATTACTATAAACTATTATGAGCTACATGTTTTTTTCTACTGGTTATATTGTGTTTGAGGAAAATATAGAGAATTGGTGATTATTAATCATTTTTGATTGAAATTACTTAAGATATTAGATATCATTTTAGATTTAAGATATAGATATTTCACTGTTGTCTACTTTTTCAATATAGCTCATTGATAAAGTTACAGTTGGTGTTTAATGATGTCTGTGTTAGATATTTGTCTAATCATGGAAAAATCATCCAATTGTTTTTGTCAGTTTCCATGAATCAAGTGAACAGCAGTTTGCTGTGTACATCTAAATGGCTGTCTCTTGTTTTTTTTTTCTAGGAAGCTTGTGCAGTCTGACCTTCAGTTCCTCCACACTGGCCATGTTGTTGCTCAGCATGCGATCCTTCAGCAACGAGATAGGGTCGCTCTTGCTGCGCACCTCCTGGATCTCCTCACGTGTGCGGTAGCTATAGAGACGGTGGATGAGGAGAGAAAATCACATATGAGCATGAACAGAAAAAAAGCATCAGTTACATTAAGTTTTACTGATGTATCCAAATCTAAAAATATTTGGATATATATGAAAAAAGCATCTTGTGGAAGACTTCTAAAACCTGTAATTGAAGGAATAATTTATATGTTTTAATACAATAACATTCCTCTATATAAAATGACCTGTGAACCTTTAAACAAAAGAAAACTCTAAACAATTTTTTTTTTATCTTCAAGTTAACTTTTTTGAAAATGACCCAAACAATTTTGACCC